TCCAATCCCGAACGTTCTGTGATTCTGTGATCTTAGGACAACGTTTACAGCGTATCTATGTCACTAGTTAGGTACCTCATCAGCTACTTCACACATGAGTTCCCTCCCTCAGCTGCATTATGTTGGCTTTCTGAAATCCATTCTTAATATCAGCTCTGAAATCTTTCTCTTACAGATAAAGAACTTGTGTATTTCTGAGTCAAGAATTTCAATTCAGTATTTCACAGTCACCAGTTTAAAGACAGACATGTGTATCTGTTATGCATTAGTTCCAATCACCTTTCCTTACAGTTCTGCCAATGCAAAAATAGAGAATTGTGGTATGTACCACAGCCCCCAAGTATCTCTACAAATACCGATTCATCCCACCAGATGGCATCCTTTCACTTAAATAAGAAAGAGTAATTTTAGTAGCACAGATCTGTTTATTTTTTATTGTTTTGGTGCTGGTCTCTGGAGCCTCATTTCAAGACTACAAATGACAAATATGACTGCTGTGATGGTTCACACTGTGCATCCAAAATACCATGGCAGGACAGTGATCAGTCTTCTTAACACAGGATAAAAGATTGTGTCAGAGACAGTGATATCACTCTGAAGCCTGGAAGATGAGGTTATAAATAGTACAGGCACTTCTAGGACAACTAAGGGAAAAGAAATTGTTACATGTTTGCTTCAGGGACAGCTCAAGTTCCCTTCACTTTTGGTGTGTGCTAAGGCTACAACAGGGTACCATATAAAGCTGTTCCCAAAACAAGGTCATGAATACTGGCTCTGAAAGGTGAAGAAAGAAAAATAATTGAGCATATGTATTTTATTTCATCTTTTTCCAGAAAGAGAAAAATCCAGCAGTCACAAATACAAAAAGACCCCCACTTTAATTGGTTACACTAAACATTTTCTGTTATATTCAGGAAACAAAATATCAAAAGGGTAAATAAAAAGACAATTGTTATGTGTGAAAATATCTTGCCTGATAGGTCAGTTTGATAGGTCTTGCCATCTGAGTCAGTTTGAAACTTTCTGTGTGTTTTCAATAGATACACTTTAAAAAAAGTGTTTGCTTGAAATTTCTTGCAAGAAGGATCTTGGTTTTCAACATAGATTTAGCTGTTACAGAGATCTCTGCTATTGGTTAAGAGAAACATGTGAAACAGACCTATATAAGTCCCTTACAGAGGCATGCTCACTGACTATGGAGGCAGAAATGAGGATGTGGACAGCTTGGTGTGTGGCCATGTACTTCTTCGGAGCAAGTAAGGCATTAGTAGAGTCATGATACCTGCTCTTCTCTGCAAGAATGTAGCTTCCTAGTTTTACTGTGCTTTTGTTTTGCTTTGTCTTACAGGAGCTAAAATCACCCAGACCTCAAATCTTGTACTGAAAGAAAATGACAAAGCTACTCTGACGTGCAGCCAAAATGATAATCACAATTATATGTCCTGGTATCTGCAGCAGCCAGGGAAGGGGCTGCAACTGATCTATTATTCCATTGGTGAAAATCAATTGCAAAAGGGTGACATTCACCAGGAATATGAAGCTAAACGGTTAAACCTTGCAGACTTCTATCTGTATATTTTATCTGTGAAGATGAATCAGTCAGCTGTCTATTTCTGTGCCAGCAGTTTGGACACATCACTTCAAAGTCACTTGCTTTCTTTACACAAACTTCTTTCCTTTCCAGTGCCTTCCCCCAGAAGGGAGCCACTCTCAGCACAGGAAAAGGGTATGTAGGCCTACTGACAAAACAGATGTTGTTGAGGAGTTGGAACAAGAGAGGCAGAATAGGTCTGTGAAATGCAGGTTAATTGCTGAACTCCTCTTTCCTGATCAGCAATTTATTCTCTATCTCATCAGAACAATCAATAAAGACTGCTAATCAAATTGAGACATAAAATAAAGGAAATAGAAACTGCAATCTACACAGACACAAATTATTGACCTCTAAGGCATTTTCTTACCTGAAACAGAACTGTTACTTGAAACACACATATGTCTAAGTCTGAAATACTTCAGAGATAGTGACTTGTATGTGCACTGTCATTCCTCTCTGAATATTATCAGAGAAAGCTACAGTGCTGTGCTTGGAAAGGTTACCCTCATCACAAGAAATCTGTAGAACTAAGATTGTCAGCAGTAATAAGAAGGAGCCTGAACAAAAGATGATATAAGAATAGAAGCTACACAGAATTTATATGCCACAGATTGGATTAAATTGACAGCAGAGGAGCCATTACCAAGGTCTGCAAGTGCATAGACACAATCCTGAAACATGTGCATGGAGGATATAAAGAAAGGGAAACAGTACAAAGTAGTATGCAACTTAGAATGAATTCACATCCAAGAAAAATAACATCCAGATTTCCATTTGTTCAGACATTGTTCTGACTATCCAGTTTACTTCTGGCTACATAGTGAGCGCATGCCTCTAGGTGTGTCACATCTATCTCTTTATGCCTTGTTCTTATGTTTCTTTCACTGCCTAATAAGCAGCAACATGGTCTATGTTAACCTAAATTATTCCTTCCTCTATATGGATGACTTCTGAGTGTTTTTTTCTCCCAGGCAGCTTTGTGATGTTCCTCATTCAAAGTCTTATAGTTCTCTGACTTTAAGATAAGACCTGACAGTGCTCCAGAAAGTATCTATATTTTGAAGACAAAAATGTAGAGGGATGAACAAGCAGGATGTGTATACAATTTTGTTTACTGTATAATCTCTCCTTGATGGAATACTTCAGACTTGGCATGAAGAGTCTTGTGTCTCACACACAAACACCTACCAGTGTCTTTCCAACACCACCATTCTCGCAGGTAGTGTCATTAATGCAGTGGAATTGTCATAGCATGAGTTACTCTTTCATGTAAGCATTCCATGATGATAGTATAACAAATTGTCCTATATTGTCCTATAGCAAGAAAGCACCAAGTAAAGTCCTTGTGATGTGTAAAGGTCACCTGCATAATTTGCTAGTTCTGAAATAAATAAGAATAATAATCTGTTTCCAGACAGAGGGTTTTGGAAAGGTTTAAAGAAAGGATGTAGAATAGGACCATTCCATAATCACAGATACAGCATCCACATTCTGAGATTATTCTTATCCCAACCTGAATTATGTAAAATTATATTGTAAATGCTGTAGGGCAAAGGAGTACCACATATGCAGGATAAGCATACTGAATTTATAGGGAAAAATTCAATTTGTGGTTATTGCAGAGAATTTCTTCATTGGGAAAGGAGTTATTGGATTACAGGCACATCCCCTGGTGAAAAGGTGAAAGAACCTTTATCTGAGTCATTTAAATATCAACTGACTGGCTAGGGAGCAGCTTTGCAGAAAAGCAATTGAACATGAGTAAGCAGCGAGCCCTTTCAGTATTGAAATGTTAATTACATTTTTGGTTGCATTAGCAAGAAAGCAGTTAGCATGCTGAAGCACTTGTGAGGCTGTATTTGGAATACTACCACTATTTTCCATACACACCCCTACCCTGTCCCAGCCCTAGTACAACAGAGATATAAACCAATTGTGGGGAGTCCAGCAGAGGGTCACTAAGATGATCAGAGAACTGGAGAAGAAACATAGGAGAGGCTGAGTGAATTGATTTGGTTCATCTTGGAGAGGAGCAGGCTAAAGGATGGCTATTTGCATGACTCCAACTGCCTAAACAGAGTTGGAGTCTTAAGAGTGGCACAGTGGAAGTCAGTGGGAACAAGCTGCAGCAAGATAAACTCTGATTAGATATAACAAAAAAATGCTTCCTCTTGAGGGTGCTTCAGCACTGAAACAGATTTCTCAGAGAGCTTGCAGTATCTCTGTCCTTAAAGATATTAATAAATCACCTGGACAAAGCTCTGAGCAACATGATCTAGCTTTGGAGTTAGCACTGTTTTGAACAGGAATTTGGATTGAGAGATCTCCAGAACTCCCCTCTCATCAAAATTTTTCTATAAGTACATTGTTTTTATCATCTTGTTTTGCTGTTTTGAGATACCTAGAAAAAGCATGTTGTTTTCTTTTTTTTAATTCTTAACAGCAGGTCAGCAACTCCCTCAAAACCACAGATCTTTCGTTTTAAAACCACAGATCTTTCGTTTTTTGTGTTGCACAGCAGAAGCAGCAGCTGCAGATGCAAAACCCATCTGCAGACTTCAGTCACAAGGAGATTGTGTGATAGCATGAGACAAAAAAACCACCAGCTTTCATAAGGCCTGTATGTGTCACTATTTCTGTCCAACTGTAATATGGTGAACAGAGAGCTGCACCCTGTGCCTCATCCTGAGAGGCCAGGGTGTTGTTGTGGTAAGAGAGACTGATGCATTATCAAAATGTGTTTTTTGAGTAAATGTCAAACCGCATCCTGTTTTGGCTGAAATTCAACTGCTGTTCCCTTAAAGAGACATTTTGGCATGTCATCTGCTCTCATTCTGAGGTACTGTTTTCTGCTGGGGCCTTCAGAGATATTTCCCCCCTTCTGTTGAAGATCTTGGCTATGCTAAACAGAAAGCTTCCTTCAAGGTCTCCACTCTATGCCTCCTGCTCCCTCTGCCTTGTTATCACATTCCCAAATGTTCTGCTTCCAAAGCTCCACAAACACTTCTCTATTTTGGTCTATGTTATTTCTACCTCTATTTAGGATACATCTATACATAAAAGGTATGACTCTGTTCTCAATTTATTTCCAAGTGATCTTTTTGATACTACACATCACTGGAAGTTCTGTTGTAGGGCATTATTGATATAAAAGACAAAATTAAAAAACAACAACTCATGGTTCTTGAATGGAAAATAAGCTAAAACTTTATTCCTAATTCAGGGAGCTGGGTCCTCAGCCTCAGAGCATTAAGAAGATGTTAAAGATATTATACTTTACAGTATTATATGATACAATAAAATACAGTATGATACGGTACAGTATGATATGGAAGTACAGGGAAAACCCAGTAGTGATTACAACAAATTGGAAAGAACAGGAGGGGAACAGAGAACCACCAGGAAATAATGTTCAGAAGTTCTTAGAAGCATAAATTCTTTGCTATAGACAGGTAGAAAACATAATTTGCTGTGATCCTGCTGATAAGATGAAGAGGACACTTCATTTATTCTCTATACAACTTGCCACCAGCCTAATGGAAAACAAAACAAAAAAAACAAATTAAAAAAGAAAAAAACCCACAAAAGCCAACCAAACAAGCAAAAGGAACAAATACAAACACCAAGGAAACTATAGACCATATTTCTTAATGTCCCAACTATTGTGTCCCCTGAGAGCCTTAGCAGAAATAATCATGTTGTATGTCCATGCTTCTCCACTTTTTATACCAAGGAAGTGTCTTAACCTGTATAAAATATTTACTTACATATTGAACAAATACATTTACACACAACTTAGTGTATTAGATGACTAATTTGGTGGCCAACTATAATTGTGTGACTGCGTCAGTGGACAAGGGAAGAACTATGGACATCATCTACCTGGATTTCTGTAAGGCGTTTGATATGGTCACGCACAACATTCTTGCCACTCAGTTGGGCGTTATGAGTTTAATGGATGGACTGTTACATGGGTAAGGAATTGGCTGGATGACCATGCCCAAAGTGTTACAGTCAATGGCTCAATGTCCAAGTGGAAACCAGTAATGAGTGGTTTCCCTCAAGGGTCCATACTGGGACTGATACCATTTAATACTTTCATCAATATCATTGACAGTGGGATTGAATGCACCTTCATCAAGTTTACAAATGACACCAAGCTGAGTAGTGGAGCTGATACACTTGGGGGAAGGGATGCTTTCCAGAGGGACTTTGACAAGCTACAGGACGGGGCCCCTGTGAACATCATAAAGTTCAACAAGACCAAGTGGAAGTATGATGTAACTGATATTTCCCTTCTTTACTTTCTGAAGAAGTTGTCCTTAATTCTCATTTTTTCATGTGTTTAAGGAATATTTTGAGAAGGAATTGCTCTGCTACAGAGCATTGATTTTATTTGTGCTCTGGAAAAGCTATAATAGAAAACCCATCACATGGGATTTTTCAAACTAGCCTGCACAAAGCCTGGCAGAGCACATGTAGAGCAACACCATAGCTAAGAATAGATTTAGTCTGTATACACTGATCCTTGTACTAATAAGTAAGCTCAGCCTTCAAGTGGCACACTAACCTACCTTAGCTGTCCACACCAGACCGCTCACCAAAACTGCATAGAGCAAAGCTTTGCCACAGAGAATGAGGTAAGTGAGCTTCAGAGAATTTCCGTACCTCAGGTAGGACTCTGCAAGTCAAACAGCATTTATGTATTGAATTATCATCATCATGAGAGACTAGATCTAATGTAGCTTTTATCAATAAGAACACTTGAAATCCTTAGGTAAGCAACACAAAGGAACTAGAGCCAAATGAATGACTCTGTTGACACAAGATAGTAGGGGATGGGAAAGAACACTGTGGTTCAAAGAACCAAAAAAGAAAGTGAGTCTCGGAAAGATGGAGATTTGGTTTATGCTGAGAAAGTATGTCCTGATTGGGAATATTTAACTATTGTGTTGCCAAACCTACTGAAAAACCAGGTTGTTCATGTGAATACCTTCTTAGGAACTGAAATTAAGCTGTATCATACCATACACATTTTTTTCACTCATTATTGTCAGTGGCCTTGTGAGTGCTGCTGATATATCAGGGAAGTTTTACATAGCCCAGAATAACATGATGTCTGGAACTTTTAGTCTTCTAGATTTTTCAGTTTTAAGGAATTGCAGTAGTATTGAGACACCAGCCTGATCTTGGTTCAGCCTTAAGATTCCTGAAACATTAAAGATGACGATGGAAAAATAAGAGTGTGTAAATACCTATATAAAAGGGAAAGAAACATATTTTTTAATATGAGTATCCTCACAGTTTGGAAAGAAATATTATTTGCAATGAGAAATACTCAGAATTTGATAATAAAAAGTATTCAGAATTCTAGATTCTGAATCTTGATGTAATAATCACTTGGCTAAGTATGAACTTTTTATTTCATGGCTGAGCAAGCATCTTTCCAACAGAAGGCAGTGTTAAGGACTGAAGAAGATGATAAAACGAGTGAATGGCAGTCTATAGGAAGGTTCAGCAATTTCTTCTGTTATTTTGAAAGGGAGTCATAAAGATGAACTAAAACCCAAAACACAGCTACATACAGCATACAAACCACCCAAAATCTATTTAATTTTTTCTTTTTTTGATCTAACTTACAAACCACTTAGATGAGGAATACAAGTTATTCTAGTAGTAGAAATCTCTCACACCTTGTACTTAGTGTCAGTAAAACTGGAATCAAAATACATACAGGTATTTGCCTGTGAGACGACACACATACCTTCCGTGAGTGCACAACCTGAAAGACAAAATTTAATTGAAAGTCATGTTTCTCTTCAATGTAAACAGAACACAAATTTTAGAAATTTCAGTTTGCAATATACTACCTGATTCATTTTACTGTACTATACAAAGGTGTGTGTGTGTATATATGTGTATATATACATATATATTTACTATAATACAGAGATTTCTCAGCGAAAAGCTGAATAAACCTTTGAAAACCTCTAGATGTATAATGATAACGTAGATACAAAGGCAAAAGAATATGAAGAGACTAATACCTACATATTTACATATATATTTGTGCCATAACAACACCCTGCACAGAAGTTGTATATAGATGTTTTTCACATCATAGTCCACACCCTTTTGACTTGTGGTTTCTAGTTTGTACGGCATGGCAATACACATTTTTTACCCACCAACATCACCGTAGATGAATTTTTGCACCGATTCCTGTGTTTGATTCTTAAAAAAGTTGGCAACGCATTCAAAACGACTTGAAGGGTTGAACCATTCTTGGGCTGAGATCCTCAGTCGGCTGGTCAATGAGTAGGTACTCCCCTCCTGTGTGGAAAAGTCATCTGTCCCCACCCCTTCTGTCCTCCTAGCACCATTCACCTTCCAGAACAGATTCAGGTGGTCAGGGTAGAAACCAGAGGCCAGGCACACCAGAGTAGCCTTGTTTTTCTGTTGGATCTCTTGCTTTGATGGGGAAAAGATGGCCACAGCTGGAGGTATGATTTCTCTGTTCTTCTCTGAAAGAGAAAGCAATATGGCCTAGAGCCTCCATCACTGTCTTCAGTCAGAAACTCCTTAAAATTAAATTGTATTTGTGCTGTCTTACTCCTGGTATATCTGGCCTTTTAACATCTGTCTGTTAGACAATTAATATCTATGAGATAGAGAGCAGGAAACTGAAAGTATTCATCTTCACTCATTACACAGAAACATAAAGTCTGGCTACTGAAATGTTTGCGTGTTTGAAGTCAAAAGTATAGGAAAGCTGAAAAGAACCTAAGCAAACAGCTAGGCAGAAAGGTATCCAGTAGTGCTATAAGACCTGTATTTGTAATACCGTACTAATAGAAAAGAGCCTGTGTTACAAGGCACAAGCATCTTCAACTGACCATATTACATTCCTGGAGATCACAGAATCACAGAATATTAGGAGTCTGCAGGGACCTTGAAAAATCATCCAGTCCAACCCCCCTGCGAGAGCAGGACCACCCAGACCAGGTCACACAAGAATGTGTCCAGGTGGGTTTTGAATGTCCCCAGAGACTCCACAACCTCTCTGGGCAGCCTGTTCCAGTGCTCTGTCACCCTCACAGTAAAAACGTTTTTCCTTATGTTCAGGTTGAACCTCCTATGCTCCAGCTTGTTCCCATTTCCCCTTGTCCTATCGTTTGGCATCAGAAAGAAGAGCCTGGCTCCTTCCTCCTGACACTTGCCCTTTACAAATTTATAAACATGAATGAGGTCACCCCTCAGTCTCCTCTTCTCCAAGCTAAAAAGATCCAGCTCCCTCAGCCACTCCTCATAAGGGAGATGCTCCACTCCCTCAATCATCTTTGTCCTAAGACATTATGGTTATTGCAATGTTCAGAATTATACTGCCATGTGACACCCTACTTGAGCCTCCCTCCCCCTTTTTTAAGAGGTAACTGGAAAGGAAGGAGCTAATCTTTCTCACTGTCTGAAGTGGAGGACACTTGAAGGTAACCCAAATATGCCTGGAACAAGTCTTGACTCAGGTCTTAAATTGCCATCCTTTTTTAAGACTATGAAATATCTCTTTATGTTATTTATTATTTAGGTTATCCTAGGTATGAGAACTCCTCATCCTAGACTACACATCTTCCCCAAATGAGGCAAGATTCTATACACTCACAAACCAAAAGATGTCCCCTGTCCTAAAGTTAATACCTACGTATAAGCCTAAAGACAACAGACTTCTACAGTCAAAAGTATGTACAAGGCAACAGTGAGATGTTACTCAGGAGCTAGGCAGCGACCCTAAAAGCAACTTTTTTTTTCCATGTACTTTATTAGAGTGACTTTTTTACTCATCTAGCATGATAAACCCACCAGTTCTGCAACATGCACACGAGAACAGAAATGCAGAGAGAATTATGGAGCCAAAGACAAAACTTTTACTTTTTTTTCAGTGTGAAGGCACTATATATTGTAGATGTTCTTCCTGACCACTCCCTCCTTTCTAGAATGGAGAGAATTAGCAGAAACTTGCAATATCTTGCATAGATCTTGACCCATAAACAGTGCATGCTTTCAACCGTTAGCCTTAATCATGGTTGTCACTGCTAACTCCACAAAGATCCCTTGGGTACTTTTGTGAAAATGTGTGAACTTGTACAGACTTCAGAAGAGGTAACTAGATAATGATAGAGAGAAATCCCTAGAATGTTTAGCACTACTCTGCTTTATTTCCAGGGGACATGAGGAGATGTTTATCATGTTTACTGCTCCCTTCCAGTATGTGGCTTTATTAATTTTTTCCTATCCTAAAAGTATCTCTGACATAAGTTCATTGGCTCATGGCCTCAATGGCTGATGAGTGAAGACACGTCAACAGATAGAGAGGACACAGAAGAAAAATGAGAGCGATTTAACAGACTAAAACAAAAAAAGACAAGTGGAAGGCAGGTGAAAAAAAAGCAGACAGAAAGAATGGTAAAACTACTGGAAAGACAAAGAAAGCCAGAGAATGAGCGTGCTTGAAATGGTGTAGGGAGACTGGTACAAGCACAAGAAGAGACAATCATTAAAAAGTGTTTAGGAGTGTAAGGAGACAGCCCATTCTGTTCTAATCTTCCACAGTGGGCACAATGCTTAATAACTTCCATTCAAAAATTTATTCATTCCCTGTCACACGTTCTCCACCCACTTAAGAGAAAATATACCACAGTTCTTCCATTGCCATTATGGGAAGGTCAGTTTCATGATTTCTTGTTATCTTTCACTCCTACTCTGATTTTAAAATAATCTGTGTATGAGTTACATACCATCAATGCAAGGGAAATGTACAAGTGTTCTCCACTTGGGTTAATAACAGCTACTTAACTATAGCTCTGAGCACAGCGCCGACTCCACACACTAAGTGGCACAGTTAAAAAGCACAGCTGTACCTGATCAGATTATAACCTGCAGTGTCATAATACTCTTCTTGCCAGCCACTTAGTTCATTAAAACAGTACTGTTTAAAGGAGCAGACACTAGTGCATACTTCTACAACTTGCTCTCAGATGTGGCAGTTGGAAAGGGTTATTTTGCCCTGTGATACCAAAATGTCTTTATATAAGTGATGTTAAATCCTTTCCTGGGAGGGAAGAAGGTAGGGAAAACAAATGGGGAAAAAGAGAAGGAATAGAGGAGAAAAGTGGATGGAGAGAAAAAGAATATAAATTTTTTTGAGAATTAGAAGTCATGAAAAGGACTAGTAGAGGAAACCAGTGTCCCAAAGCAACTTTAGGCAGCCTGCCTGCCATCTATG